CTCCTACGCCATCGGCGGCTCGCGAGGACGAGACGTTCTTTTATCCGGGGCAGGTGAAACGTTGCAATATTCTAAAACATTTGTACGTTACGTACGTTACGTTTCTTCTTCGGCAAAGAAGGGAGGGGAAAGTTGTCTTGAGAGTGAAAGGGAGGCGAGAGCAACACGTGTGCGCGCGCGTTGAAGAAAGAGACGGGCACAGATGGACATAAATAGCAGTTCGATAGAGCGAGAGGTCGAATATAGAGGGAGACACGCGCAGTGTCGGAGCGAGAGGTCGAACATAGAGGGAGACACGCGTTAGAGGGTAAGTTTAGGGTGGAGACCCATAGTGTCCGTTAAAGAGGGATAAATTAACGCTGGTGTCAGGTGAATGTAGACACGCGTGGTGACGAAGCGCGCGAAACGGATCAACAATCAAAGATCATGCTATGCAAATTACGTTGCTTAAGAACTCCGATTGTCTTCCAATGTTAGTAAGCGTATGTGTGTGCGTGAGTGCGTCGAGATGAGAAAAAGAGAGAGCCACCGGTGAGAGCAGCCGGTGTGGCAATGAGCAAAAGGGAGATAATGAGAGAAAGTGGTGCGTTTGACAATGTGTGTGTATGCGTGTACGTCTGTGCGTGTGTGTTGTATCGCGCATGGGAAACGTGCCTCCGAGTAAATGAAAGTGTGCGTGCTCGTTTAAGCGTTAGGTTACTCGATGTTAGATATTTTACGGGCGAGGAATCGTCATGGGGTTTTTTTTAAACAATGATACACGCGGTTCGAACACACTGGTTCGCGAACACTGAGTTTCCTCGATTTTTCAGAAAATTACGGGGTGTCTCGAGATTTGTCATTTTTTATTTCATAATTTCACATCGACATCCTTTTACTTTTTTTTATGAAAATTTAATTAAAAGATGGTCTTAATAAAAAGAGATTAATGGACTGAATGTTACACAAAATTTAGAAAATCCTGAGATTTTTGTTCAAGCGAAAGTTTTAATCTCTTAAGAAGTTTATTATTTCAGAAGATGATTTAACGAAAAATTGTACGTAACGAGACTGTTTATATTTTCCTGGCAATTATCGAATGACGCTTGTTCGCGAGACACCCTGTGTACACAAAGAAATCTTTAGAGCGATGTTTATCGGCGGATGACGTAGCTTTTTAGGAAATCTTGGTTTTTTCGACATATTTTTTTTATGACTTTCCTTTCTTTTATCCCCTTGATTGACCTAAATAAAAGAAAGGAATCGGCAGACAGAGGACACGTTGTTTTTATTACATAGTTTTGAGATCGAGTAGGTTTAAGATCGTCACACGAGTAAAGCCGATATTTCCCACGTGAACTTCTACCAAAAAGAAATCTTGATAAGTCGATCATCTGCGGTTTAAAACGGAGACCGGAATAATTTTACATTAAAGGATAACACTGTATAATGTGGCCTCCTCGCGATGCCTTAAAAGCGTGCCTCGATTTATATGGCGTGAATGACGAATAACGGAGTGGTTGGCGAAACGAGAGACTGGGAGAAAAGAGAAAGTGAGCATGAAAGGAATATCATCTATTTCGTGGTAAATATATATTATATATAAATATATATTTATATATATACATTGTTCTTTCCCATAAAAAAATGTGATATGTAACTATTGCAATAGAAATATTAACTATTATTAAAAGAAAAAAATATTCTATTATAGAGAGCGAGTGAGGGAGAGAAAGAGAATCATATCGAGCGAAAGTAAGAGTGAACAAGAATAAATGAGGCGGCGCGGTAAAATGAAAATACGCAAGTGCTTCCGTCTCACAAATTATTTTTTCTATTTAACGACGCTCGTGATACGCGACGTTTCGCGAAAACGCGCCGGCTATTTGGCGCACAAAAAAAAAAGATTTTTCGAAAATTATACTTCCACCGCGCGCCGCCTCTGCGTGAAGATATTTTTTTTTTTTTGAAGAGAGAAAAAAGCAAAACAGAAAAAAGAAAGTGCCTAAATGACGTGTTTTCGAAAATCGAATACATTTTGTATATATGCACACCACACACTTCTTATGCTAAACAAAAATGTTTTCGTTTAATTTATACTTGAAAGCAAATGTTATTATAGATTTAGTTTATTAATATTAATATTATTATTATATTATTAATATAATTATTTTTATTATCAATTATTATTATTATTATTATTATTATAATTATTATTATATTCTCAACACTACACGCCTCCATTGCGAACGGAAGTAGATCCTCCGCTACTTCGACGAACAGCACGGCACATTCATTTAATATTATCTTCATTATTATTTATCTGGCTAATCGTTTCTTTTTTTCTTTTTTTCTTTTTTTTTTTTTTAGTTGGTTTCCTCTTTCCGCTCGTAACGATGCAATCAATTGTCAGTGTCCATGTTCGACGATTATCGTTCAAAACTCCGAGCTAAAGTCAATTAATCCTGTGTCTTATCTATAATATGTATATCGCCATCTTTGGTGTATACACAATTATATTATCGCTATTATTATTAATATTATCACTATTTACTACTTTTTACTATTACTGATGCTGTTGCTGCTATTACTACTACCACTACTACTATCACTGCTAATACTATCTACTACATTACTTTGTACCACTACCATTACCACTACTGCTACTGCTGTTTACTACCACACTAATGCTGTCCTTAGCATTTCACAGATTGTCATATCTCACCATCGTTGTCATCGATCATATCACCGTTTATTATCGCGATTTCAATCAAAAGTTACTCTCCTTCCTCGAGCTCGTTAAAATACCATATTAAATTATTCAACTCGTTATTTAATTTCTCTGTAACTTTACATTTCTTTCAATGTATTCAAAATTCCCGCGCGATCGAACCGCGGCCATCTCCAAGTTAAAACCATCAGTTCTTTATCAATCGAACGTAGATACGCATTGTATCTATGTAAAGTACAAAATCGTATTAAAAGATCACGTCTCGTGGTTTTAATCGACGGAGAATATTTAGAGAGGTTTTTTTAAACGAGTTTTAGATATCATTATGTTAACGCAACTTCGGGCTCGGTTTCATTCGGAGTCGACCAGAGTTTCAAAATTTGATGATTAATGAATTATGTACAAATTTAAATATATATGGATTTGACTCCGTTTTCTAACCTAACCGACCGAAGCATAGGTCAAGCTGGGTAGAAAATGGCGTTTCGCTTACCACGAGGGCCAGACTTGTAGCCATCTACAGAACAAGTAAAGAACTAGTGTTTACACAGCGCAGAGAGTGAAAGTTTGATCGCTCTTCGTCATTCGAGAGAAACAAAAAGATGCGTAGGCACGGTGGTCGAGCGGAGGGAGGAGGGTTCGTTCGTAAAAACGCGTTCTCCAAAACGAAGCCAACACGACGCGTTGCTGTCTCTCGTGATCAGAGTGAAAAGAGGTCTCGAGATGGTACCCTAATCTTACGGATCTTTGTACGACGGTGAAACTTGCTAAACCGAATGATTTAGTCTTTCGGACCAAAGAGGTTTTCGGACCGAACTCACAAAATTATTTTTGAAAATAATCCATCCATACTCTAACAATGTACCATCACTGATTCAAAATTACTCGAAAAGCGCACATGACAGAAGACGTTGCTATCTTCGATATTAAATATCTTGTGAACTAATAATTCACGTACAAAATTGGTACCGTCAGTTTTGGTTTTCGAAGTTTTATCATCGTGCAGGTAATCGAAATTTGAGGGTACCATCTTGCGACTTCAGCGAGAGTCGCGACTACTTGCACAACGATGAAGAAGTAGCGATGGCACGCCTTTTCGAAAGCGTCCTGCGATGCTACAACGAGGTCCCCTCGTTACGGCTTGCTGCTCTTAACGTGTTATCTTTCCGCGTCCTCGAGTCCCGCGGGATATCCCTTTTTCCCGCGGTCGTTCAGGGCTGCCGGAGTTTCAGGAAGGTTTCTTGGCTTTCATTGGATTACGTTCGGTATCTCTTCTACTTTATTCTTTTTTTTTAACGTAGTAATCGTGACGGTTTCGGCAACCCCCGAACTAGAGATCGTAGGATGGCATATTTAATTTATTTATGATCGAACAAGATTTTATTACTTTCGTTTACAGCATGGCCACTTTGCTTTTTCGGTATCTTTGTTTTCTTTCTCGTAGATTTATCCGTTCGTCACAGTTTGAGCTCGGTGTTTTATTTGTACGTCACACACGCTTCTTTGGCTTCTCTGGAGTATTTACATTTCTTTTTTTTTTATATATGTATGAGGAACCATAATTTATATTGAGTCGAGCGAGT